AAAAAAAAAAAAAAAAAGGTTTTCTACGCTCCCCAGAGGGCCCCATACCCAGGCTTGTTTTCTTTTTTTGCGAGTTGACTGTCAAAGGGGGCGGGGAGGGGGGTATAAATTGGTTTTACAGGGGTGAAGTGGTTTAAATGGGGGTGCCTTAGTGTGATTCTGTTATTTTCTTTTTTATCATCGTGTCTGTGAAGAATTCTAATGTGACCATTAGCCAAGAGTCCTTTGTATTGCAATTCTACACAACATTTTTATTTCCGGAATTTTTTGAATTCCTTTTTATTTTTCGCTCTGGGGCTGCCAGGAACCCTGCCCGGGGGGTGGGCGTGTGCCCGGGCATAAGTTGGCTGCCCGGGCGGCCCGAAAAACAGCCTAGGGGACTGAACTAATTCTGACATCATGAAAACTCTCTCCTCTCTCTCTCTCTCTCTGTCTCTGTGTATGTGGTGGAGGCATCTTTGCTGTTGAACGCAAGGCAGAAGTTCATAGATGAGAGCCACAGACACATGCTCTTTGACACAAGATCTTTGGCAAAAATAGAAGTCTAAGAAATGAACTCATCTTGAAAGGTGCAAAAGCCAAGAGGGCGCAAAGACAGGTATATACGATTCCCAAGAGCGGGCCTCATGTCTATCTTACAATGCTTGCGGGCTGGGTTTCATCCGGGCTGGCACCTGTCTGCGTTCCCATTAAGGGGGCTGATTGGGGCGTGAATCTGGGGAAGGGCCTCTGGGTAGGGGTCTCATCTTATGCAGGGGTGGCTGCGTTGTCACATTTGATAGTAGAAGGGTGGTAGACACCCATAGAGTCTCTAGATGTAATACAGGTGAGGAATGACCACATACCACATATCTGTGACCCCTCCTGTGTCCAGTCTAGAGACAACATCTGGGTTGCACCGCTGTAGGGCTCGACGTGCAATCTGATTAGGACAATAAAAAAGTTCACGAATGATGCCCCCTGGAGGAGACTGTCCTTGGGGCTGCCACAAGCCATCTGATCTCCCCACTCGTTGAGTACAACGACAGGCACCTCCCGAGGCCGACCATCCAGCCTCTACTATGATCTGGACTTAAATAAGCACACCTGATGGCACAAGGTAAGTCTGACCAGGAAAGAGATTGCAAGAGCTAAGCATAGACAAGCATACCTGACAGCACGAGATAAGTACAAACAAGAAAACGGATAGATGATCGTTGCCCCATTACTACCAGTTGCTGGTGAGCACTGGAATGACCGAGACTATAGCAGACTATGGCATCACCGTAATGCAACAGCAGGTGACAGGTAGAGAACCCACAGATATCTTTGGGGCTTACCATATCACCGGACCATTGGGGACAGTAGCGCTAAGTGCCTGGCACCTAGCACTGCTGGTGAGCACTGGAATGACCGAGACTATAGCATCACCGTAATGCAACAGCAGGTGACAGGTAGAGAACCCACAGATATCTTTGGCTTATCATATCACCGGACCATTGGGGACAGGAGCGCTAAGTGCCTGGCAACCAGTGCAGAAAAGTGCTAAGCACCTAGCACTAGAGGCATCCTGCCACCGCAGTGGGTCCATCTGATCAAGCTTCTGGTGCATGCTACGTGACCTCGATAGGAGCAGTTATCACAAGACGTGATGGAAGAATGCAGGGTCGTATAGCAAGGCGTCCTGAAACAACAACAAATGTTACTTGCTCTCGATTTGAAATTCGTAGTCAGAGTTTGATTGGGGTTAGAAGGTTTCTTGAGAAGAAAGGGACGGGTTATTCTTTAAAAAAGGGTGCAAAGTTGCAAACACTCTTACAAATCTCCAGAAGCATAGCGAAGCATGTACAGAATTCCAAGAAGAAAAAAAGCGAAAAGGAATTGCAAACTGGATATAATTTCAACAGAGAAGTTGACTAGAAAAAGTGTCGGTAGAGAAAGTTACTTCCACACTGTTACACTTCTCCAAGCGGAGAAAAGCACAAACAAGAGGGGGAAAAAGGGGCGAGTGGAGCGGCGGGGGGTAGGGCGAGAGAGAGAATATGCTGCACAGTCCTATAGGTTTCTTTAGTTGAATGCATATCAAAATTGATACCACATGGAGATGCAGATTATCAAGTGGAGATGCAGAAGAGTGACCTCACGTTTTACACAAGTCCATGAAGTTCACAAAAATAGTCTTCTTCGTGCCTTCTCGGAGCACCTGAGGTGGCTTCATGATCGTCTTCTTCTTTTCTCCAGCAAGGTCTGGATTGTTCTCCCTCAAAATTGCAAACACACGGCCCAGCAGCTGAAAACATTACACTCGATTAGTAGTGGCAGAAAGAGCAGTGCAGATACGCAATCGCATGTGAACACGCAACAACACATGCACACAAAGAAAACAAGCCAAACAAACAAGGAAGACAAAAGGACCGTTAAAATTTTGACGAACAATGAACCGACCGAGAATTTGACAGGGACCCGAAGCGGCACTGAATCAGCCAGCTTTTGAGTAGATCATGATGTCAGGGCCAGTTTAGATACCCCCAGGACTATATTCAGGTTTTGTGGGCGAATGGCAGACTGAAAAGATGTTCTCGCCAAAAGGCAGAAACACCCGCTAGACCTACCTTCTTCACCCGGATAAAACATATGGTCATTGTACAATTGAATTTGGGCCACATTTCAGTCCAGATACAGCTATAACGACCAGATGTTTTATTCGGGTGAAGAAGGTAATGCACTTAGGAGGGCCCGGGTAGAGGATCGAAGAGAAATAGCCAAGAGGTACTGCAGGTTGTGAGTCAAGAGTGATATCATTCGTTCTAGTGGGCAGTCGGTACACTCACCCAGCAGTAATGCTGCTGGCCTGCCTAAAAAGAGAAACATTCACATAAGACATGGGGGAGTCACTAAGAGGAGTTCCTCCGCTATGGAGGGAGGTACAGGTGAAAATCATTCCACGATGCAGACCCCAAATTCGAATCTCAGGGTCAAATCAGGGTCAAAATTCCCAGGCGTAGGAAAGCCAGGTCCGCCAGTTTTCTCCCAGAAGTCGAGTACGACAGGTACCCGGTCAACAGTTACATCAAGGAGGCAAAAGTCACATCCCGTAGGCAGAAGTCACATCCCACAGCTAAAGATCGTGTCCCACAGGCAAAAGTCACGTCTGATAGTCAAAAGTGATATCCCACAGGCAAGGGTCACAACTCACAGTCAAGGGTCACGTCCTACAGACCCAAAGCAGCAGCACAGGAAAACCCAGGAAGGTACCGGGCCTCGATATTCTGAAGCAAGCAGGCAATGGGCATGTGGTACCAGGCGGGTTCCAAGTCAAGCCAAGTGAAGCAGAGGCTGGGAAGAGTCAAGGCTTAGTCCAAGTCAATATAAGGACTGGCCACCCACATTTCGGGAGATTGCTCATTCACAAGCAGTGTTGAAGTGCTGCTGAGCCGCTTGTGCGCTATCTGTGAGTAGCTAGCACTGGAGACCTGCTGGGAAGCGCTGTGCTGAGGAAGGAAGGCGGCTAGAGCCGCATAGCTAGTGGAAGATAGAGCTGATCGGTAGCGGATGTATTCAGAGTCGAGATCTGCAAGTAGAGAGGGGGAGAGAGAGGATGAGTGCATACATGAGGAAGGGGGACAGAGAGAGGAGAGAGTCACCTACCTTAGATGAGGATGCTGGATATGGGATGCTCGACTCTGCGCTGTCAAGCGCCTGGTGACTGGAACTCGGTACCTGTTTAACTTAATATGATAAGTTGTTGGAATTTCTGAGCTGCGCTTATCTGGACTACGCATCTCTGGCCTCCAGTGTGGACTTACAAGGCTGTGTGTGTCCCCCTTCGACAAGTTTGGGGCACGCACAGCCGTGGTTCGACCTCTATCGTCTTCCCCCGATCGTAACACATGCGTTGTATTCGAGTCTTCAAAAACAAACCGATGGTTCGAATAGAACGCATATGCATTGTATTCAAATTTAAGGGCAGATCAGATATTAAACTGAAGAGAACAGATGCGGCACTTGATCTTTCAAAAATAAGCCAAATTGTCACATCATGAAATCAGTTCAGGCACACGTACGGAGCACACATGCCGTGTAAAAGCTACAAAGAGGTACGAGGTGAAATCACAACCCTTCTCTCCTTACCTCTTCATAGGTGTAATCCCGATCAGAGCCTTCCCAAGGCAGGCGGGTGGAAGGCATGTCCTCGTCACTCTCTTCATCATCCTCATCTGCAAAATAAAACCAGTATGCAAGACCATATTACACGTAAGATAAATACATATACTTTTATTCAGTTGCAATACCATCCGTTCTCGCAAAGCTCGAATTAGGTCCTCCTTTTCATCGGAGTTTCACCGACTCATCACGAGGCTGAACCCTATATATCACCATAAAGAACTACCCAGTGAGCTGTAGGCAGAAAGAGAGAACAGGACACGAAACAAGGGACTGGCAGATTCAGGTGACTACCCCCGTCCACCCTGTCATTATGGCTGTATCTAGCCTGAAACTTGAACCAAATACAGCCATAATGACCGGGCGTTCAATTTGGGTGAAGACGGTAGTCAGGAGGCTGAACCCTCTACAATCTGCAGTCCCCTAACTGATGATACTGTACGTCATTATCCACCTCAACCCCGGCTTGGGTTCGACATCAACGACTGCCCCACAACGGATATCCGAAGGTGGGCATGAACCATTGCCCTAAAGAAACATACATATATTGTCATAGAGAACTGCCCAGTGAACCATAAGCAGAGGAGCAGGAGAGGACAACAAACGAGGGACCGTGACAAACTGTTTTGACGGAGTTTGGCCAGCTCATATTTAGTACACACGAAAGCCATATATGGTGACGATATTTAGTACCTCATACACATATCGAGTACCTTATATGCATACATAGTACCTACCGTATTTACACAATAGCTTATACACATATACAGTACGTAAGTCGTACAATATATAGCGTCACAAACAGAACTGCCCGGTAAACCGTAGGCAGAGAGAGAGAAGAGGACAACAAACGAGGGGCTGTGACAAACTGTTTCGTCGGAGTTTCACTATATATATATTGTATATATATCGTCACATAACTATCAGAGCGCAAAAGCGAAAAAAACAATGGAAAACAAAAAGAACATCAATTCATTTTTTATCTTCTTCCTTATAACTCCCCCTGTTCAGAACCTCTCGTGTACAAGGCCGCCCACGTGGATGTAGGTTGAGCGGCGGCTGCCCCCACCCCCGTGTGTCATATCGACCCACTTGCACACAACCAAAAGGCAAAGAGGCAAAGAAAAGAGGAAGGGAACAGCCAATTAAAACAGAACAGGGGCCAACAAAACAGAGATGTCAAAACATAGATGTCAAAACATTCTCGTCTGCAAAAAAATCAAGAAAAGCTCCGGTCCACAGTGTGACAACCAAAACGAAAGAGAAGACAGTCCCGGATGACGATTCCCACATCCAAGCACCGCCCCGCGCTCAAAAGGCCGAACAACGGGAAACAACCAACCAGGATGCCCAATAACAGAATCGAAGCAGACAAGATTCACAAAACAAACATTCTACCATATCCATAGTTAAAAAACGGAACCATTCAGTAGGCCCGCAAAACAATAGGGAAGATTAAAGAGGACACAATTGGATGGTGTTATTGCCTTTAACTTTAACGCTCAAAAAAAAAAAAAAAAACAGAAAAAAAAAATTCTTCCATAAAAAAAGACAGCCTGCTAGTACAGGATATACTCGAACAGAGATGCCCAGTAAACCGTAGTAGGAGAGTGAGAAGATGATAACGAACAAGGTGCTGTGACAGACTGTTAATCAAAGTTTCACCAACTCATGTATACAGTGTATAGTATATACTCTTTTTGTAGTACAATGTATACTAGATGACCTGCTGCGGCTTCGCTCGCAAAAACAAAGACTGGAACTGCCGGATGCAATCTCCGTCCCTCTCTCTCTCTCTCTCTCTCCCGCCTTCCCCCTCCCCCACCCCGCACCAATCTCTCTCCCGCCTCTCTCTCTACATGGCATGATTTTGCGCCTTTAACACAATGCAAACAAAACAAAAGCCAAACGGAAAAAACAAACCATCGCACCACATGGGTAGCTACATGGCGCTATTTTGCACCTTTTGACCCCCCACACCCCCGACTACCCCCTACCTTCTTAACCCGAGAAAAACGTACGTACGTTCTATTCGAGTTACATCTGGAAATCGGGTTTTGAGAAATCACTCATTTTTCCCCCAATAGAACGTACGTTCGAACAACGTACGTTTGCTGTATTCGATTTTTTTCAATTTTTATTTTTCAAAAATAATCCAAAAAATCCGTTGAAAAATAATGTTATACAACAATGCAATACAAACAAGTTTTGCCTGAGGGTCTTTTCGAAATTCACAAGCAGATTTGGAAGAAAAAATCAAAAACGAGGATGAAAATATTTTTTTACTGATTTTCCCAAAAAGCTTCAGTAAAAAATCCGCAAAAAAAGTATGTCGTACAGAATTGCAAAGCAAACTTTTGCCTGAGGGTCTTGGAGAAATCCCGAACCAAATTTGAAATAAAAATCAAAACAATGGCGGTACTATAGACTTGTGAAAAGTTGTACCCTACATTTCGTTCCACAACGTACGTACGTTGTATTCGAATACAACGTACCCCGTACGTTGTATTTGTACGTTGTATTCGTATACAAGGAACGTAAGTTGTTTCCGGGTTAAGATGGTAGGCCTCCCGCCTTTTCCGTCCCCCTCTCTCCCTCTCTCTCTCTCTCTCTCTAACGCGCGCACACACAGAAAAAAGACGACCGAAACAAAGATACGAAAGAGCTGCCCGGTAAGCCGTAGGCAGAGAGGGAGATAAGGTCAACAAACGAGGGGCTGTGACAAACTGTTTCGTCGGATAAAACAAAGAAGCAAAAGAACGCATTTCAGAATATCAGACATATAGATAAGCACCCGATTAACACACCCTCTGGAAGTTCAAATTCGCTCTTAGCCTTCTTCTTCTTCTTCTTCACGCCTAGGAGTGACAATGGCTCATCATCCTCTCCATCAAAAACATCATCATCTTCGTCACCTTCCTTTGCCTCCCCATTGACTTCATCTGCTGCCCCTTCCTCGCCATCAGCATCATCTTCCACCTGCACAAACCCAGCGCTCAAAACATTTTAGTACACTGCAACAGCAACACCAACGGTCCATCTCCGGAGTACCCATATAAGTAAACTGCAACGGCAACACCGACGGTCAATCTTCAAGAGTACCATTTTCACCACTCTTTTGTCCTGCTTCGGATCGGTGACGATAAAAATTCTGCTAAGATTCAAGATCGGTGAGTATAAACTTGAAAAGTGGCAACCGTACAAGGACAGAGAGAAAGGGAGATTTCATGCAGACTACTGTCTTCACTCAGATAGATCGCATCGCATCGCTATAACAATAGACGGTAGAGCAACAGCCAAAGACAGAGAAAGAGAACTACATGCTCCTTGTGCTCTACTGTATTCACCCGACTACAACGTCCGTTCATTATAGCTGTGTTTACATACAGCAATACGAGCAACAGCCTGACGTACGGTCATTATAGCTGTGCATTTGGGACAACTTTGAGTCTACAGTCGGCAATAATGACCGTACGTTGTATTCGGGTGAACACAGTAGTTCTTTTCTCTGACTCTGGCTGTTGCTCTGGCGTCTTCGCCCAGGTAGAACGCACGGTAACTGTAGCTGTACCTGGACTGACGGTACATACTAACATAACACTGCAGTGCTACAGTGCGGTGCTTTTTTCTGCACGGCTAGGGCCGTGTACTGGCAGCGGTCCCCTTGCCGCAACTTTCGTAGGCCGGAAATGCAACTGAGGTCATTGATGAATTTTATCAATGGTGGCCCCACCCCGAAATTTGTGGTGCGGTGCTAGTGTGGTGGTGACGAGTTACTTTTTCTGCAAGGCTGGGGCTGTGTCCTGGCACATCAAATGGCACAACGACCAGTGCACCCCACGATCGACGGGAACACAGCAAAGATGGGATACTTAAACTGTGCCACCTTCAGCCAGATGTACACCTCAGAGACAGAGACACGGGCACGAGAGAGACAGGGAGCCAAGACAACCAAAACAAAAAAAAAAAAAAACAGCAAACAAAAGGACAGACCAGGTAAGAGCATTCGCTACATTCTACGCTACATTCTAACAACCGCCTTCCTGATCTGCAGGAGGTTTTAATTTTCACGGACACAGTCAGGCCACAAACGAAGCAAAGGCAGAGATTTGACCCGCCACAGCCAAGCAGTGACTTAACCACCACAGCGAAGAGTCGGGCCACCAGTACACTATGAGAACGTAAGGGAACTCCATTCTCCTGAATGAACAAGTGGATTGCTGCCAAAGAGTTGAGTGGGTGCTCGTAATTGATTGGGAACCAAACAGATGGCACATCAACCGACTATTCACAGTGGGGGGAAGGGGCGAAGGGGGGAAAGAGGGAGACGAAAGAGGGAGAGGAAAGAGAGGAAAGAAAGGAAAGAGAGGAAAAGACGCAGAACTCCATTCTCCTGAATGAACAAGTGGATTGCTGCCGAAGCGTTGAGTGGGTGCTCGTCATTGATTGGGAACCAAACAGATGGCACATCAACCGACTATTCACAGTGGGGGGAAGGGGGGAAAGAGGGAGGACGGAGGGACGAAAGAGGGAGGACGGAGGGACGAAAGAGGGAGGAAACAGGGCTGGCTGAGGGGGAGGAAAGAGAGGAAAGAGGGCTGGCAGAGAGGAGACGAAGGAGAGGAAGAGGATGAAAAGGGGCAGAGAGGAGAGGAAGGAGACGAGAGAGGAGAGGAGAGGGACAGGAGAGAGGGGGGAGAGGGGGGGAAGAGAGGAAAGGGTGGAGACAGAAGAGAGGGAGGGAGACGAAGAAGGAACAAAATCTCGGGCAATCAGTAAACAGGGGAACCATCAGCTGGTACACACATTCACCTGCAACTGCCTGGTACACCCATACAACGTCTCGGAAGTACCTGACCACGTCTACGCACCCATACCACGTCTCGGAAGTACCTGACCACGTCTACGTAATCGCCATGAAATGCGAAAGAACACCCACTCCACCACCAATCCCCACATGTGAAAATGCCGAACGCACCTGGGCACATTCTATACTGCACGATGCACCTTTTTTTCACATGGTGCTCCCATTGTCGAGTATCTCGGATCGGCATTTGAAAAAACATAATCTAATCTGCTGAGAAGAGAGCATCATAACAGAGTCTCCTCGCTGGTGGATAGGATACCGAGCGTACCTGGTCACATTCTACTGCAATATGCACAGTAACGTCTTCGTTTAATGATAGCATAACTGAGTCTTCCTTCTGGTAGATAGGACGACAACTTTCGAATTCCGTCTTTTTCCCAATTGGACTTCTGTTTTACTCTTTGATTTCGGCCGTAATTGCGGTCAGATTCATCCAGGGCCGGTCATAAATGCGATCTGGTAGAGACACTGCGAGTCCACGCCCAGCGAGACATTCTCAAGAGACTGCAGCCAGTCAGCTTTGCTAAAAATACATTATATGAATGCAGCGAACAGAAAAACAAAAGAGGAAACGGACATACCAAACGGACATACCTGCGGCTTCTTTTTCTTTTTCTTCAGGCCAGCAAACGGGGCATCCATCGTCTCCTCCCCCGCAACTGCAACAATACCAAAACAAAATCAAACAATATAGAAAATAAGAACTTACACTCGTCTTACACGGCTAACTAATGAACACATACATAGTCGTAGCCTACTACTCACAGACCAGGTATATGTGTATATATCGTCAAACAGAGCTGCCAGGTAAACCGTAGGCAGAGAGGAATATATATATTGACGATACATATACGAAACAGTTTGTCACATCCTCTCGTTTGTTGTCCTCTTCTCCTCCTCTGCTTATAGTCTACCGGGCAGCTCTGTTTGACAATATGGTTTACCGGCCAGCTCTGTTTGACGATATACCGTCAAACAGAGCTGCCCGGTCAACCGTGGGCAGAGAGGGAGAAGAGGACGACAAACGAGGGGCTGTGACAAACTGTTTCGTCGGAGTTTCACCGACTCGTCAGGAGGCTGAACCCTCAACAGTCTGCAGAATGCCCTAACCAATTACACTGTAAGTGATAATCCACCTTAACCCCGGTTGTGGTTAAGCATCAACGACTGCCCCACAACTGATACCCCTCTGAGGAGATGGGGACCACCAACCACTGCCCTCAAGGTACCTGTGACGAAAATCGAAGCAGACTATTACTCACCCACACCAGATGGAAAACTCTACAGACTGTCGGTTCACACCCCATCACAAGCAAGCAAAGCAAAACACCCACGAAACAAAGAAAGGTCTGTCACAGCCAAAACAAAATAAAAACATAATTTAAAAAAAGGGTATCTGTTCTTTTCAATTATGTTTTTTTCTTCAGCACAGCAAAACACCTCTTCAGTACAGCTACAAAAACAGTCCGAAACTACACTTCAGGCATTCCCCCGCACATAACACCCCCCCACGTCACCCTACCTGACCGGAAATCTGGAGCTTGTATACATTGCCGCAAGTGTAATTTGAAACCGTTCTCTGCCCGGAGTGTATTTTCAAACTCTTTTTTTAACTCCCGCGAAATTTCCCAAAAAAAAAGGCGAGTCATTCAAGTCATTCCAAAAGATGATTTAGAATGACATCAACAAATCGAGAACGGCTCCCTCAAAAAAATAGAGAGAGGAAGCCACAACAAAATTAGCCTTGTTAGAGAAGGGGGGGGCCGGGGGGGGGGGGAAGACCATACAGGGGAATGAAATAACACGACTTTCCCGAACACGACGCGCACGAATCATGGATGCATACAAGCTGTCTTCCCGGTCCGATACAGTCGTGATCAAGGGGACGTTGTTGTGTTCGGCGCAAAATAATGGCAGCACAGATCCAGCGATGCTGATCTACAGTTAATTAAGAGATACCGAATGCACAGAAGCTATCTTTCCGGTCCGATGCAGTCGCGATAAGGATGCGATAAGATACTGGCACAGATCCAGCGATGCTGACATGCTGTAATTAAAAAATGCATAGAAGCTATATTTCCGGTCCGATACAGTCTCGATAAGGATGCAATGGGATACTGACAGATCCAGCGATGCTGATATACTGTAAATTAAGACATACCAATTGCATAAAAGCTATCTTTCCGGTCCGATAGTCTTGATAAGGATGCGATAAAATACTGACCGCAGATAAAGAACAGAGGAGGTCGAAGGCCGCATCTCCTAATCCACAGTGTCCCTTGATCTGTGCTCCTGGCTTCCCCCGAAAAGAACGCACCCTGATCAAGAATGTATGCACGCTATCTTTCCGGTCCGATACACATGGTAAGGGTGCGTTGTGTTCGCGGGAAGGCGGCAATGAAAACTCGGCCCTGCTAAGTCTCTCTACTCGCTCCTTCGCTGCATGTGGTTGGACAGACTGCCCACTCTACCGCCTTCCCCCGAACATAACGCACCCTGAAAATGGACGTATACAAGGTATGTTTCGTGCCCGATACAGCCAAAACGAGGGTGCGTTGTTGTGTTCGGGGGAAGGCGCTAGCCATCATCAGATTACATCAACATTTTGCTGCTATATTGCTATATTATTATTATTATTCTCAATTTATCATTATTATGCGAAGTAAAAAAGATTATCGGGAAAGTCATACCTGGATCCGGATGGCACGCACACAAACCAAACACCATTTTTTTTCTTTGGCACAAAGCAGGGTAAAAAACTCCTACCGTGTATTCAATTAATTCCCGCCAATTTGCATCTCCCGCCCATTTGCGACTCGGCAGGTAGTATTTTATTTCAATTATCTCCCGCACATTGGCAAGTCGGCAGCAAATTATTTCCCGCGCACCTGCTGCTAATGGGAAATTATTCCCCGCGCATTTGCTACTCGACCGTGAAAATTATTTCCCGCACATTTGCGACTCTGGGAAATTATTCCCCGCGCATTTGCTACTCGACCGTGAAAATTATTTCCCGCACATTTGCGACTCCGCAAGTACACCAATCCTTTCTACCCTTATCACCATGAATGCATCTAGGCTCCATCCGGGTCAAACACATCACGATTTCAGGTCGCCAGGGGGAATAATGCATAGGACTTCCGGCACAACCCCCTCGTTTCTCTCCTACTTTCAGTCCGAACTCTGCAGCAGCAACACCCGAAGATCACAAACATAGACCTTTCCCGCGTCCTCCGGAAACAATTACTTTTCATTTCAACAAAATAAAATGGGGGGAAACTTTCCCGCGTCCTCGTCTTCTTCTCGTCATTACTTGGCTTAGTGTCCGCCGAAAGGGGGTGTGAAGGGGGCCCGGGGAGAGGAATGAGGGCGGGGAAAGGGGGGGGGAGGAAGGTTGACAGGGGTTGGAAGGAGAAAACGGCGGTCACGCAAACAAAAAGAAACGAGTGCATCTTCCCGCAGACGACGGTAAGATACATCGATTTCTATCCATAGATCGTTAAGGACATATCATGCCTCCTGTGGTAATATGCACTCGTTTTTCCGTCGTTTTCGTGTGGTGTGCACCCAAACCCTATGTCGGCCGTGACGCAAAAGAACATGAAAAGTTGTGTTGGAACGCTGGCCCGTCTTCCAGCTCGTGAAGCTTCCCATGAAGCTTCCCAAGAATAGACCGGAGCCATCTCAGCCTCGTATGCAAAACGCGCTCTTCCCATTAAAAACAAATAAGGCGCTCTTACCGCATGTTAGAAAAAGAGAGCTAAAACAAAGAAAAAAAACGTGGTAAGCGAGTGAGCAACGGCTGATACCTTCTTAATGTCATGGTAAGATGTTAGGGGGGAAAAAACAGGAACAAGGGTCCCCCTGCACCACTCTCCAAATGATCAAAACGAGAACGAATCTTCCTCTAGAATGATTTATGGGCAGATACACCGCCGTAGTTTTTGTCTTTAGTGCATGTCGTGAGTAGCGGATCAATGTCCCAAGAGTGAACTAAGGCAGATAAATTACTGGTACCAAGAAGTCGGGGGGAAAGGGAAAAATTGCCTAATAGGCTGGTACCATAATCCACAACCAAGCAAAAACGAAAAAAAAACTTTTCCGCTTTTTGGGTCAGCACGTATGTCCTTAGTCGCTCGCGACTTCTTCTCTGAGTTTCTGGAGGAAAAATAGAGCTCGAAGAAAAACGAACAGGAAAAAAAAAGAAACTTCAAGAAAGTTTATAACCCTAACTTAATCATACTGAATTGAGCAGGATTGGAACTCTATTGTATTGAACAGGATACGTTTGAATTTTTGACGAAAACTATCAAGAACGCGTGATACGTGTACCCAGTCCCATTCCGGGCCACATACGTTACTGTGCCCCGCAACACAGTTCATCCAGGTCATGGACACGTCATGGACACGTCATGGACATGATCAATAGCGCTTGGACTGTACCATTGAGCCAGCACCGGCTAACTTCCGAACCCTAATTTGCCACAACGCAAGCTGGGGCAAGGGTCCCACCAGCAAAGAGGGCTGGATTTAAAGCCTGAATTTGGACGCGTTCGTGGAGAGGTGCAGACAGTCGCGACTGATCTATACTGCGTAGAACGCGTCCACGTACAGGCAGTTAAAGCCCAACCCTCCTTGCTAGTGGAACTCGCCCCTTGATCGCCGATCACTATTACAGTATCTATCCTTCGTAGAACGCGACTGGGCTATCCTGCGTAGAACGCGTCCACGTACATTTACTGGACAGGGTGAGGGTGAGCCACAACAGACCGCCGATCACTATTATCAAAGCCAATTATTAGCATTTATATTAATATGATATGAGAGTACGATATGTTGAACACGACGCGATTGTGCTGCCGTAAGATAGCAAAAAACGAAAAACAAAAACAAAAAAAAGTCGGCACGGACCTCAGTTGTTACAGGTGTTCAAATCCAAAAAAAAAAAAAAAAAAGAGAGAGAGGGCGATAGCACTTACCTGACAGATTTCCCACAGCTTCTGTGACAACCTCGACAGCCTCGACGCTATCTACGTCCACAACCTTCTTCTTCTTCTTCTTCTTCCTTGTAGGATCAAACACTCCCAACTGCACAAGATTCGAAAAAACGTTTTCCCATCAAACGACAAAGCACGTTTAACCAGGCTACAAATACATTTACATATACACGTATTTATAGCCTACCACTCGTACGCATGGTCTGTATATCATCACAAATTTATCAGAGCGCAAATGCGAAAAAAAGAAGAAATAAATTCATTTTTTATCTTCTTCCTTACAAGACTCCCCCTGTTCAAAACCTCTTACGTACAAGGCCGTCCACGTGGATGGTCTATATACCTATGTATATACAGTTTGTCACAGCCCCTCGTTTGTTGTCCTCTTCTCCCTCTCTGCCTACGGTTTACCGGGCAGCTCTGTTTTACGATATGTACAGCCTCCTGATGAGTCGGTGAAACTCCGACCTGACAGTTCGTCACAGCCCCTCGTTTGTTGTCCTCTTCTCTCTCTCTGCCTATCGTCACAAACAGAACTGCCCGGTAAACCGTAGGCAGAGAGAGAGAAGAGTACAACAAACGAGGGCCTGTGACAAACTGTTTCGTCGGAGTTTCACCGACTCATCAGGAGGCTGAACCCTATATATCGTCACAAACAGAACTGCCCGATAAACCGTAGGCAGAGAGAGAGAAGAGGACAACAAACGAGGGGCTGTGACAAACTGTTTCGTCGGAGTTTCACCGACTCATCAGGAGGCTGAACCCTATATGTATACGTACGTAGTCATTCAGAGCTACCTCGTGAACAGAAGACAAAGGGAGAAGGGGAAAAGAAACGGGCAAATACATCTACAGGTATTTATAGCCTACTAATACGCACCGTATACATGTCAAACAGAAAAACAAAATATACATATATATCGTCAAACAGAGCTGCCCGGCAAACCATAGGCATAGAGAGAGAAGAGGACAACAAACGCGTGGCTGTGACAATCTATTTCGTCGGAATTTCACCTACTATACATACTATATTATATATATGTTGTCACATAATATCAGAGCGCCAAAGCGAAAAAAACAAGGAAAACAAAAAGACCTTAAATTCGTTTTTGATCTTCTTCCTTACATACATATATCGTCACATGGATATATATATCGTCACATGGATATCAGAGCGCAAAAACGAAAAAAGCAAACAAAAGGGAGCAAAAAAAAAATATCAGTTCATTTTTCATCGTCTTCCTTACAACTCCCCCTGTTCAGAACCTCTTGCGTACAAGGCCGCCCACGAGGATCTAGGTTGAGCGGCGGCTGCACCCATATATATATTGTCATATGTCTCATAAATACATAAATATATATACACATATATATGACACACGGGGGTGGGGGCAGCCGCCGCTCAACCTACATCCACGTGGGCGGCCTTGTACGCAAGAGGTTCTGAACAGGGGGAGTTGTAAGAAAGAAGATATATTAAAAAACGAATTCGTTCTTTCTTTTTTTCGCTTTTGCGCTCTCATATTCATGTGATGATATATATGACGATATCAACATGTATACATACAGTCATTCAGAACTGCCTGGTGAACAGATGACACAGGGAGAAAAGGCCAGGAAACGGCCGGCTGTGACAGTTTTTTCGTCGGCGTTTTTCCAACTCATCTGGAGGCTGAATACAGATGCACCTATTTTACATATATACAATTACATAATACACGTATATATATGCAAGTATACCAGAGCCCCTCGTTCGTTGTTGTCTTCTCCCTCTCCTCGTACAGTTCACAAGGCAAAAACATACATACACTTATAAATACATATCTACACGATTGTTTTACTTATATTCTGCTTGACAATATGTATGTCTACACGTTTCAATTGTTCAGTCATTCATTGCACTGCAAATCCATCATGTACAAAAGCGGACCCAAAAAGCAGTATGATCAGCGATTGGGGGGGATGGGGGCGGCGGGTTTAGGAATGATTTTGTATACCATGTGTGTATGGTGGCGTGATGTAATACGTCAATCCACCTACGAATGATATCATACATCAGTGGTTCAAGTGGGACTGGGTTGTGAACCCCACATCCGCACCAAGGTCTAATCACGTACAGTGTACTTCTAAAGGGTCAATCCGAGACAGGGAGACAACCCAAACCAACCAAAGCGAGGAACACCTTTCCCCACTTCACTTATGAAGAGGGAAATATGGTCCTCGCCGCCCCACTCACCAAATGTGCTAAATAAGAATGAATATTCTGCTAAAACATGGAAAGATACACCATATTTTTTGTCGTTCGCTCAGTTTGTAAGTGGTGCGACCAGGCCCTATGCCTGACAGAGCGGACGGCGTGAACTCCGCGCAGCACTCAAATCAGTCTACAAAGCAAACCTAAAGCTTGATTGGGGAAGAGAAACGACAAACAACAAATACGCCAAAACAAAACATGTGGCTATACCTCGATCGGTACATCTTCATCCGCCATGGTGTCTCAGTGGTCACAAAGTCAATCAACCAAAATATACAGAAGCTCCTGAATCGCTTTCTTTATGGGAAACTTTACCCTGCACAACACAATTTTTCGGTATTGGACGAGAGTTAGCAGAGGCATCAGAATTTTCCAGACTAGGGTCGTCTAGTTACCGCCCTCCCCCGCATGTAACGTACGGTCATTATACCTGTATTTGGGACAACTCTCAGTCTAGATACAGGGATAATGACCGTACATAATTCGATTCGGGGGAAGAAGGTAAGCAGAGCCTTGTACTTGACTGCCGTGGAGAAACCCCGTTTCTGGTGAGTGAGAATGAGGTGGATGAGGAATAAGACGAGAGCCACGAGAAGCAGGACGAAGAAGAAGAGAAGACGAGTAGTAGACATAGGTAACAATGGCCGAGCTGCTTTCAGCACATGCTTCTCCGCTTTTCATTCCCAATCCCCATGTACAACCCTCAATCACGCGCTCAAGAAGAAGAATAGAGTCAAGCGAGGCCAAACGCTAGTAGTCCAAGCATCAACAGATTTCCATTACTGAAACAAGATCGGACAAAAGCTCAGAAAACGCGCACATTCTCCACGGGCTTTCCGCTCTCCCGCATCCACCTGTCGAACCTCCACCTGAGCATAGAGGGTCATTTTGGCCTTACCTCCGCAGTTATACACGTCCACCCAGCGAGCCACACCTTCGGCTGCAACTGACTGGCGTGCCCGTGTAGCCCTGTTCACCCTCGCGAGTGCGTCGTCGCAGTTCACAATCCGTCATCCCTCGTGTACCGGAGCTAGGTCTAGTTGTACTTCATTACAACTGTGCGACACCGCTGGTGTGGGCGGGAAGTGGAGGAAGTTGAAGCGGCATTGGCGGAGTCATCACGTGAACCAGGGTTTGTGGAAGTGCCGCGTTAGGCGAAGGTAATCATGGGTGGGGGTGATACTGTCTGCCCTGTGTGCGGTACAGTTGTATGGCTCGTCACCTCTCCCTCTCTATGTGTGCGGATAGCAAGGACTGGGGCCAGGGACCCCAGAACTCAACCCAGGGGCAAGGTCCCACTTGCGCAAATTAGGAGATTTCGGCCGTTGATCTTTCCTATCTACGGTCAGTATCTGTTAATTCGTGCTCGTGGGACCTAGCCCCGGGTTGCTGGAAAACAGGTCCAGCGTCCTGTCTTTGGTACCAGAATGGAAAACAGGTCCACTGTCCTCGAAGGCAGAGAAAGAAACTACAAGCTGGAAACCAGGTCCAGCGTCCTTTCCAGAAAGACACTTCTAGGAAGTAGAGAACCTCTCAGCCAAAGGGCTGCCTGACTGTCTGATGTGATCTGGTTCTCTGTATTGGACATTTATGGGCCTTTTTTGCGTTCCTTATGTTCTTTCATTTCGCATATATGGCACTTCTGCATACCCATCGACAGTTCTAATCTCCCAGGTTTGATCATGTTCGTTTGTGGTTTGTGTGTTTTTTCGTTGTTTGTGGCCGCATGTCTTTTTGTAACGTTTTTTTCAGCAGGATAAATTGCAAATAGCCCCACAAGTTCATGTATATGCTAAGATGTCCCTTCACGTTCTGGGTTTAGTGGAATGCTCCTCTGGCAATTTACAATCTTTTGCCTATGGAGCTGCGATAACCCTACGACGTATCGTCCACATTTGGGAAATGCCCTCGTACATTCTTACTTTTTCGAAGGCCCGAGCGCAAAAGGCCAAGGCCCAAATGGCAATGCCCATATTGCAAAATACGGGTGACTGACAGGTGCATACCCCAAATAATGGGACCCATAAGCGCATTGCTCTTTGGCCACAACTTTCAGGAGCATATTGGCTTATATGTCAGCATACAGGGGTATTCTGTAATTATCCCTTTCTCTAACAGCAAAGGGCTACAGCCTTGAGACATTACCTTTGTTTTAGACCGAACGTCATTCCGTTGGTCGCCATAGCAAGTGCATGAACGGTTGAACGACAAAAATCGCCGAGGTATACGACGATTACCGCCCCTCTCTCTCTCTCTCTCTCACGAGCGGTTATCGGGTAGCTGAAAATTCATGAATAAAAATTCTGAAGTGAGATTTTTTGGCAGTCTGAAATCCTGAATGGTCTTGAAGTGGTGAAAGGTCCGAAGACCCTGAAAACCACCTGTTTAGGCTGACTGCATCTTGAAATGGTGAAGGGTGTCCTGAAGTGGTCAAGTAAGAGTTTTGGGCAGTCTGAAAATCATGGATGGTCCTGAAGTGGTGAAAGGTCTGAAGACCATGAAAACCACCCTTCACCACTTCAGGATGCAGCCTGCCTAAACAGGTGGTTTTCAGGGTCTTCGGACCTTTTACCACTTCAGGACCATTCAGGATTTTCACCACTTCACCGCATACCACAACAAACTGATTTGCAGGTGCTTGTGGAAATACGCAGAAGAATCCCGGGGCGAAGTCCAACTACCAGCGTTGAAGTTTCCTCTACGCATGAATGTGGTCGTGTTTGTGGACATGTGCAAATCAGGAAATGTCAGCACCGATTTCAACAAGGGTATGTGCATAGTAACTTCATTCTTATCCATAATAGACATGCTCCGACTCCGGGGCGTTGTCTCGTAAACAAAGAGGACTAAATTTGTTTAGTGAACGGGGATGTGTTTGTGAACAGATCGGAAAAAAAGAAATAAAAAATGGTGCATGTATTGATTATTACAATTACATTTGGTTTCGGTCATCGGGCCCATATGGAAATCAATGACAAATCATATGTCCAACAACTATAGGATAATATATTTTGTGCCCGGGTCTTTATGTCGATGACATCCGCACATGTATGCAGATCATTTGTCCACATGATGCATCATGTTGAAAACCCTCGACACATACCGCCCGAACCATGAAAACATTACAGCCTGAACATGGACTATGCGACAGATACTAGAATGCATGTCTATTCTAAGTTAGTTTCAACACAGTCGACGACCATGCTGACATGAGAGCGTTGACATCACAGACGCCATGATCGTTCACAGCTTGCACGAAGATGAAGTCGCAGTTGTATGTCATCCACCGATGGCGTATGTATCTGAAAGATTAGGCCCTCACAGGTATTGGCTTATGCCATCCACCGATGGGCACACGGAGACAGCCACAAACACAGTTCATCAGCATATGGGATGGGCAAGACGAGTGTCCTGCGAGCTGTCCGGGAGGTGGCCGATGCCATGATCAAGTGTTTCCCTAACGAAGTCAACTTTAGGAATCCAGCGGACATGGATAGAACAATGAAGGCTTACCAGGCTCGCAGATTTCCAAACTGTGTAGGTTGTATAGACGCCACACATATATACGTGGACAAACCAAAGAATAGAAATGGTAATGAGTTTTGCTCGGGGCGCACGTTTCCGTAAATAGCGCAAATGGTATTCGATAGTGATTTGCGAATAGTTGATTTATCATTGAGTTTCCCTGGCATGGTTCATGACTCGCGGATTCTTTTTAACTCGTCATTGTATGAACAAGCTATGAATGGTGGTTTGTTCAATGAGGATCCTGCAGATCCATTCAGGCAGGAGCGTATGCCTGTCCCTGGTGTCCCCGGTCAATACCTTCTGGCAGACAAAGGATATCCCAACCTGTCGTGGATCATCACGCCGTACGGCATGCCAGAGAACGCTACACCTCATACCATAATGTTTGACAATATTCATAAGGTGGTTCGGACGGATGCAGAGCATGGAATTGGGTTGTTCAAACAAAAGTTTTAGTTATTATACAAAAGTTTCAGAGCGTGGAATTGGGTTGTTCAAACAAAAGTTTCAGAGCGTGGAATTGGGCTGTTCAAACAGAAGTTTCAGTTATCCACATATGACAAACCAACAGACCATCGGAGACGAGGTCCACGCAACATGTATCATTCATAATCTGCTCCGGAAATGTGGAGGACGAACAACATATGCGTCTGCGCCAAGATATTTGCAGCATTGGGAACGTGCCTATTCCACCACAGGATGTCCCTGAATCAACAATCTCACTGAGGGCAGCAGGAAAGGCAGTACGCCACGCATTGTGCGTCCACGTCAATGCATAGAACGCACAACGACGACGACAACTAGCATTGTGGAGGGCAACTGCACGTCGTCAAGCAGTCCACCAAGCGTGTGTGTCACAGTGTGTGTGTGCGTGTGTATGTGTGTGTGCGTGTGTGTGTGTGTGTGTATGTGTGTGTATGTGAGAGAGAGAGAGTAGTTTATCATGGCATTTTCAGATAAACTGAAGTACATGGAGTATTGAAATTAAATCGGTCACTGGCTACTTCTTGTATATTTGTGAACCAAGTTATGAGTGTGAACCCTTTATCTTACGGTTTGGAGACAATCATTGTGGTTGACCCATCGTTTTCATAAGGAAGTCGAGGTCACGTGCTGGAATCTACAGGCTGAGATGTTTTTTTTCCTTTTCTTTTCGTTATTCGGTATTTGTTTCTGGAGCCCAGGAGCGTTGTTTGTCATAGTTGTGGACTCGTTAGTCACTCAGATGGTGTGTTTTTTGTCCATTGAGACTGAAAGACGATGGTTGCGTGCATAGTGGGTTTTGACTCGTGGAAGTAAGACTGCTCCATGGTGTTATCTGGTATCGGAGCCACTTTAGGACCGACGAAATGGATCATGCAATTGGAAGATCACAGAGGTATTAATATCAATAGGATGCTTGACTTTATAATCAGACTGCTACTTATGTTAATCGGCATTGCCATCAACGTAAGTCCCACACGGCGAAGAAATGAGGTGTTCGGGGTGTAGGAATTTCATATGCCCGAGCTATGATTGTATCTTATCTATATGTTTTTTCGATAAATTATTGCTTCATGCGCCAAGACTTTCATGCATCTCATCCCCATTGATTACTTATGTAAATCCTTTTAGTTTCGTAAAGTCATAATTATATTATGAAACTCTGCACGCTTATGTTTCTTTTCGAAGCATGTTGCGAATATGTGCACCCTCAAGCAATGTTAAATGGGAAGACCATATATTATACTCATGTACTCATCGTTGAATGTACTGTTTCGTCGATGTTCCATTCAATTCCGATGATTGACCATTCCTAAAGACACGCGTATGTGTGCGTTGTTTGTTTGTTTGTTTGTTTGTTTGTTTTTTTTTTTTTTTTTTTTTAAGGTCATTTGATATACTGTTCTCCTTTGTTTTGTTTTGTTTGTTTGTCTTTTTGCTTGTTTGTTTGTTTTCCTATATCATGACACTGAGATTGTACAACTGCAAGCACCCCTCGCTGCTTGGCCAACTTCACTCCCCACAAAGCAGGACTATGCAGGAATGTATGTGTGTGTGGCGGTTCTGCACGTATGTATACCTATATTTGAACAATTTGTTCGACTTAAGCACATGGATTGTCCATGCCATCATCTATAACCGCTTGGATGAGAGGAGATTCAACCACCGGGGGAGAGATCCCACTAACAGAGAGGATTAAGTTTCAGGCATAATGCGGAAGTCTTTCCGAACAGGTGCAAAACAACAGATTAATTATTATTTGTTTGCAACTTTTGACAAGCATGTATAGATTCCGGCATTTAATCCACTCGTGTTTGTTAGTCGAACTTCGATCCGGATGTTACTTCACATTACTACAACAATTCCTTAATAAACCATGATGCCACCAATTTTGAATAAACTTCATCAATTCACACACTTTTTTTTCATTGTTTGCTCATTATACCACATGTCCATCGCACCGATGATGAGTCATTGGAGAGAGAGAGAGAGAGAGAGAGAGAGAGAGAGACAGACAGACAGACACACACACACACACACAGATTATGTGAGACAATGTCCCGAAATCTCAAAATTGTGATATGTACAGGTACACAAACATATGCCCCTTATCCTTTTTTTTTTTTTTTTTTTTTTCCTCCCTCGGGTATATCTGCTCCAATATCGTCCAAATTAGAACCCGGCATGACCGCAAAAAAAAAAGATATATAAACAACTACAATTAGACTACACACAATACATGCAATAACCC